ATACAAGAAACGTAAGGTTACATCAAAGGAGAATACTAGGCCCCATGGTCAAGAAATCTGGCAAGAGTTCTATGCGCGCGTCTTCTTCAGTTTTTTCGGCATAGTGTTTTCCATCACAAATTTATCTACTATTCCTTTCCAGGCGCTAGAAGTTGGTGTGATATTTGAATACTCATGATTACTTTGCGTAGGCTTGACGCTAGAGAAAATTAAATTCTCTTTCGTCACATTTTCACCAATCAAGCGTCTTTCGAGCCACCCAATCAACTCATCCTTGTCTATTAGCTCTTTCTTCAATTCTGTCACTTCAGAATGAAGCATATGGTACTTGCCCTCCCAAGTTTCCCTTTCAAGCTTGGTTCTCTCAAAGATCTCTTGGTACTCTTCCATCTTTTCAATAGGGATGGCGGAAGATGATGCGATGACAATATGCATATTCTTTTCAGGAAGGTAGGGCATCTTGAGATCACGGGCTCTAGATCGAACCCACTGAGTGAATGACTCAAAGGCTACACAATTCCTTTTCCCAAGGTCAGCTTTAGTTTTCTTCTAGATGTTCTCTCAAGCATCAATCATACTATTCCTTGAATTCTCCTCTACTTTGGCGTTAAGGTAGAAGAAACCAGACAGTAGGATGTTGCTAGGTTTATCCTTCATTGGGAATCCAAATTGTCGTCTGGCTAAAACGGGATGGTAGTTGATTCCCTCTTGTGCTCCCAAGAGTGGTACATTTGGAAAAGAACCACAACTATCAATGTAGACCCCTCAATCATAGGCGGGATCATAATAATGAATATTTGCTTGAGTTAGAGACATAATCCTTTGAGACCATCTCCAACCATTAGGGTTTTCCTTGAAAGCGTCTGTCTTTGGTAAATGATTGACAAACCATTTGTACAACAAGGGTGCACAACAGAGAATAGTTCCTTTTCCATGAAGAGTCCTCTGATGAATGAAATGATAAACATCACCTAGCAAAGTGGGTACCGGATTACCATTCAAGAACACGATGATAGTAGTTGAATTGACAAATTTTTCTATCTCAGGGAACAACACCAACCGATATATCAATAGAGCCAAAACCGCTTCAAATGCATTCATACTACCCTCCTTGGCAAGGTAAGTAGCCTTCTCTAATAAGTAATCATAATGAAAACCCTTAACTCCATTCTTTGAAGCATAAATTGGCTTTAATCTCAGGTACTTCTAGATGAAGTGCACCAACAATCTCTTTCAACGAGGGTAACTTCTCCAAACTGCTGAACGGTTTCTTATCTGTCACAGAAATTCCAATGAAGTAAGAGTATTCTTCTAGTGTCGGCACCAATTCGGGAAGGTGAAGCAGTGGTATAGAGGATCGCAGAACTGAACCAAAGTGCTAAGAACCCCTTCTTCCATTTTAGTCTTCACAATACTCATGAGTTTCCCGTACGTTTTTCCAAAACCTTCGGACACCAACATTCCTAGCTCTCCCAACTTCGTTGTATCACATTTCTTGAAGTTGTATTTCTTAGTGTCTCTTTTCCCAAAATCCATGATATCTAGGGTTTCTAAAAAAGAAGGCCACTGAGTTTCACAAAACCAGTGCAACAAGATGAGATGACATGAAGTTGTCCAAATAATGGAATCTAGGGGTCAAAATTTGGGGTATGACAGAAGTTGTCCAAATAATTTTTGAACTAAACAATCGATTGTTAACTTGTGTCAATTGATTGAAAAAAATATTTATTAGCCAACTGATCGATTGTAGAAGGGCCAAGCGATTAACCAATCAATTAGGGCACCACCTTAATGAATTGCAACGACTCTATATTCAATATTTCTTATTTGAACATGATAATCGATTAAAAATGGTTTGGCTCATCGATTAGAACGTTATGCCAATCGATTGGCTCATCAATTCTTCCCATGAATTGTTTGCTTTTCTAATTTCTTCAAATCCTATATAAAGGAGGCTCGTCTGCTTTTCATTTTAAGCCACTTTCCAAAATTTTACATTTTCTTTGGAATTTATCTCTTTATTTTCTATCACTTACTCTAGAAATATATATTTTTCACTCAAAGTTGTCATAGTGTTTTTAAGTGAAACATTGCTTGTGAGGAAGAGTTTGTAAGTTTTTGTTCTATTTATTTAATTCTTGAGAGTGTGATTTTCGTCAGAAGAGTGAATTTGACTCATGAGATAAACTAGTCATAAAAAATATATTTTGGTTTATTGAGCTTTGCTAGAAAAAAATTGGTTATCAATTATTGAGATCGACCTGAAAATCTCTAAGGTTCATTAGCTTAACTTGTGGTAAAAGTTATCTTTTGTTAGGGATAAGTCTGTAAAAATATCAAGCTCATATTGAATTAAGGTTCGTGAGCATAACCTATAAAAGCTCTAAGTTATAGTCAAAATCTAAAGAAGACCTCTCAAGAACATGACTAATCAACATTTATGATGAGAGTCATGATCAAACTCTAAATTTGAGAGCTCTAACTTCTATCAGCAAATTTGAATAAATTTAAATTTAAATAAGTTTTTATAACTAGTTCTATCAATATTCATGCCAAATAATCACTTTATCTATTCAAAAAAAAAAAAAAAAGTGTACTTACATTTAAGAAATAAAGGGTTTCTATTTTCCACATCATGATTGGAGAACTACAATCTCAAATCCCCTTTCCATTCAAATTATATTGTCTTTTGTTATAATAACATTATCAATGAGCTTCTAAGTCACTAATGATAGTAAGAGATATGTAGGAATACGAAATACATTTTGTTCAATGAGTTCAAAACTCCCTACATGCTAAAGATACTCAACGGCTAGAAACGTTATTTCATCAAACTTAATCTTCCCTAGTTTATTAAACTAAAAAATATTATCATAATTAATCTACTTTTGAACATAATATGTAAAAAATAAGAATGAGCAAATGCCAATCTATATTTTACTGTCATCATACACTTAGAACACAAAATTTATACTAAAACAACATCTTTCTAGATCAATTTGTGGAACATCTTAGTCTAGGGAGGACCAAAACCCACATAAGCATTCACTTAGCGAAGGTAATTTGTTATGAAACTTAGACAACAAAAACAAATTAACCTAAGACGAAAATATAGTTTAATGTAACAATATTTTATTTTGTCGCAGATGCTTACAAAGCAATTCTAATACTACTAATAATAATAATCCATGAACACCTATATCTAGGGGAATCTGCTTTGAATGAGAGCTTTAAAAACAAAGAGCAAAATGCTCGATTATCAACACAGTGCAGACCATATTAGTGACTGTGTTGAGGAAAACAATGCAAAAACACATGGTGTGTGAATGAGCTAGTTTTAGTGTCAAACAAGGTAGTATATAGTACTCCATGATTCAATGCTGCAAAGAAATATATATAAGTTTATGGTAAAAGAACAGAACCCCGAGGCAAAGGTGGTGGAGTGTGTTGGTTCTATCTCCAAAAATGTTATTAAAAGAAAGAAACATGTATTGTCATTTTTTCTTGCTTCATAACAAAGCAAGTGCTAAATGATCTCATGTCATGTCATGTGTCCTATATTCCTATTCTTTAAATTTGCATTGCATGTAAATTTATTTAACAAAAAATCTATTTTATTGCAAATAGTGAGATATACATTATTTATAACTTATTGGGTTATATATATTGTGAGACTATTAATATTAAGAAAGTGGAGTATTAATTATATCTTTACAATAATATATTAATATATAGAATATTAATATATAGAATATTAATATTTAGAATATTTGGGTTATATAATGTGAGACTACTAATATTTAGAATATTTTTAAATTTTAAATTATTTGTCATTTTAAAATATTGAAAAAATATTGATTACATCTTAAATAATACATTTACTTATTTACATTTCAATTATCTTATATTATCTCTTAACAAATATGAATTGATTCAAATGAAGAATGATTTAGCTTTTTAAGTAGGTGGTCAGATGTTTGATTCTTGACTCTTAAGTTTTGTTTGGGTTTATGAAACAAGATGAAAGAATAGTGTGAGATAAAATAAAATAAAGTTTCATTAATGTTTGAATTAGACATAAAATAAAGTTTCATTATATGAAGTGGTATTATTTTGTCTTTCCTCCTATTTAAACAAAATGAGAAATTTGTTTGTTCCATTTTAAAAACTCAAAAGAATTAATAAATTTTCTATTTTGTTGGTTCCATTTCACACCTTTTCATTCTGCTTTATTTATTTTAAGACATTCAAAAATAAATGTATTTCTTAAATTTTAAATGAAAATATGACATTTCAATTCTTTCTAATAAGTAATATCTGACTTGAATTAAGATAAGGTAATACTAACTTGTGTCGTTTGGATACAAATTATGTCCTTAAGTCACAAATTAAGAAACACATTTATAAAAAGTTTATATAGAAAATATCAATAAAAATTAAATTTTTTATTTTTATTAAAAGCAATACACAATTTCTAAGATATTATTACAATTTTTAATTTTTAATTAATATCCCTAAAACACAAGTTAACATTATCCATAAGATAATAATATTATTTATAAGAGACAATTTACTTTTTTGTTTCATTGAATAATTAATATATCTAGTCTATAAACTGACCAAATACATTAATTATTTAATGAATTTAAAAAATAATTTATCTCTTATAAAATGAAATAGTATTATTTTTATTACTATATATATTTATTAATTTTCATTTTATTTAACTAATATGTTAACTAGACTATTAACAAATTTATTTTATAGTAAGCGAGGATTTTAAAGATACTATGAAATGATATGACATAAAAAATATTTAACTATGAATTTGAATATTTCAACTAGCCTAAGAGAGACACAATCAATATAATAGTCACACTAGTTCCACAAAGTAGCTTAACATAGAGACACGCAAAATGAAAAACCAAGACTTGATATTATCCCTATAAACATGGTTGAGTTTTTCATGCAAAATTGCTAATGTCAATGCAAACCCAACAATGAACTCACTATCTTACTTCTTCAATCTTCTCCTCTTCACACTTCTTCTCCCACTTTCCCATTCTTCAACCAATGAACTCACCACCATACTTTCATGGACACAAACCTCTTCAAAACTACCTACACTCCCTTTTTCAAACATAAACCCCCTAGACACAAATCCATGCAAATGGCCATTCATAACATGCTCTTTACAAAACCTTGTAACAGAAATCATCATCCAAAATGTCCAATTAGCCCTTCCTTTTCCTCCAAACATCTCTTCATTTTCCAACCTTCAAAAGTTAGTTATTTCAGGTGCAAACCTCACTGGAAATATTCCAGCTGAAATTGGTTACTGTCTTAACCTAATCACCATTGATCTTAGCTCAAATAGTCTTGTTGGTAATATTCCTTCAACTATTCGAAACCTAAAAAATCTTCAAAACTTGATTCTTAATTCTAACCAATTAACTGGTTCTATACCAATTCAGATTGGTGATTGTGTTAATCTCAAAACCCTAGATATTTTCGATAACAACCTTACCGGAAACCTTCCACATGAATTAGGAAATCTTACAAATCTTGAAGTTATAAGAGCTGGTGGAAACAAAGATATTGTAGGGAAGATTCCAGAAGAGTTAGGTGAATGCAAGAATTTGACTGTTCTAGGGCTTGCAGACACTAGAATTTCTGGTTCAATACCTAGTTCATTAGGTAAACTAACCATGCTTCAAACTATATCTATTTATAGTACTTTGATTTCTGGTGAAATTCCTCGCGAAATCGGTAACTGTTCTGAGCTTGTGAACTTGTTTTTGTATGAGAATGGTCTTTCTGGCGAGATTCCTTTTGAAATAGGTAAGCTTGTGAAGCTTGAAAAGATTTTGTTATGGCAAAATGGTTTTGTTGGTGGAATACCCGAGGAGATTGGAAACTGTAGTAGTTTGAAGATTGTTGATTTGTCTTTGAATTTTCTATCCGGTGGAATACCGAAAAGTTTAGGGAAGTTGTCGAATCTTGAAGAGCTTATGTTGAGTAACAATAACATTTCTGGTTCGATACCGGGTTCGATTTTGAATCTTACGAATTTGATTCAGTTGCAGATAGATACAAATGAGATATCAGGTTTGGTTCCGGTTGAGATTGGTAAGTTGACAAAGCTAACGGTTTTTTTTGCTTGGCAAAATCGACTTGAAGGTAGAATTCCGTCGGAGTTAGGAGATTGTTCAAGCCTCGAGGCCTTGGATTTGTCTTATAATGAACTTGGTGATAGTTTACCTTCAAATCTTTTTAAGCTTCAAAATTTAACCAAGCTTTTATTGATTTCTAATGATATCTCTGGTTCTATTCCTCCTGAGATTGGTAATTGTAGTTCTCTCATTCGACTCCGGCTCGTAGATAACAGAATCAATGGTGAGATACCGAGAGAAATAGGTTTTCTTAATAACCTTAGTTTCCTTGATTTGTCTGAAAATCGTCTTAGTGGTTCGGTACCGTTAGAGATTGGAAAATGTAAAGAACTTCAAATGTTGAATCTAAGTAATAACTCCCTTTCTGGGGATTTGCATAGTTTGTCTTCTCTTACAATGCTAGAGGTTTTGGACGTTTCGATGAATAATTTTTCTGGCGAGATTCCGATGAGTATTGGTCAATTAACTTCACTTCTTAGAGTTATTTTATGCAAAAACTCTTTCTCTGGATCAATTCCTTCATCACTTGGGAAATGTTCCAATATTCAACTTCTTGACCTTAGCAGCAATTTTTTGTCGGGGAGCATACCGCGAGAATTGTTTCAAATTGAAGCACTTGATATTGCTTTGAATTTGAGTCACAATGCTTTATCAGGAGTGATCCCGGTTGAGATATCGGCTCTTGACAAGTTGTCTGTTTTAGACATTTCACATAACAATCTCGAAGGTGACTTGATGGTGTTTTCAAGCCTTGAAAATCTTGTTTCTTTGAACATTTCATATAACAAATTTTCCGGTTATTTACCAGACAGCAAGTTGTTTCATCAACTAGCAGCAACAGATTTGGATGGAAATCAAGGTTTGTGTCCTAATGGACATGATTCATGTTTCATTGGAAGTTCTGCAATGACAAAGATGTTAAATGGCTCTAATTCTAAGAGGTCAGAGATGATTAAAGTTGCGATTGGATTTCTGAGTTCTTTGGCAGTTGCAATGGCAATATTTGGACTTGTTACCGTCTTTCGAGCAAGGAAAATGGTTCGAGACGACAATGATTCCGAGTTTGGAGGAGGAGGAGGTGATTCATGGCCTTGGCACTTCACACCATTCCAAAAGGTAAACTTTCGTGTGGACCAAATTCTAAAATGTTTAGTGGAATCCAATGTAATTGGAAAAGGATGTTCAGGGATTGTTTATCGCGCGGAAATGGAAAACGGAGATGTTATTGCTGTCAAAAGGCTATGGCCAACAACAACGGCGGCCACTTCCACTGCAAGGTATGATCACAGTCAAAGTGACAAGTTAGCTGTTAACGGAGGAATCCGCGATTCGTTTTCCGCCGAGGTTAAAACTCTTGGTTCGATTCGCCACAAGAACATCGTGAGGTTCTTAGGTTGCTGTTGGAATAGAAACACAAGATTGCTAATGTATGATTACATGCCAAATGGGAGTCTTGGAGGCTTACTTCACGAGAGAAGTGGTAATTGCTTGGAGTGGCACATTAGATTCAAGATAATTCTAGGAGCAGCTCAAGGTTTGGCTTATTTACACCATGATTGTGCTCCTCCTATTGTTCACAGAGACATTAAGGCCAACAACATTCTCATAGGACTTGAATTCGAACCATACATAGCCGATTTTGGACTTGCAAAACTCGTTGATGATGGAGATTTCGCAAGATCTTCTAGTACACTTGCCGGTTCTTATGGTTACATAGCTCCTGGTTAGTATTACTCTTCCAAAACTATGAATTTTTTTTAGAATAATGTTAATTTGTGTTTCAAGGGCAGAAGTTAAAAACTAAATTAAAAAATATTGTGTTAGAAATTTTGTACAAATTTTATTTAAAATATAAAATTATGTTTTAAATTGTTTTTTCCAATACAAATTTACTACAAATGGGTTTTTTAACCAGTACCTCAAAGACACAAGTTAGAGTACAATTTAGCATTATTCAATTTTTTATAATAATTTTTATCAATATATTAAAATGTGTCCGATTGGACTGCGATCGCAGTCCTTTGTAATTGTGAATATTTAAGACATAAAAAACTTCAACGTGGCCGAAAATTGCGGCCGCAAACCAAATTTTAAACCTTGACTGCGGCCTGTTTGGATTGGCTTATCAAACATGTCAACAAGCTGTTTTTCTTTTAAGTACTTTTAACTTGCTGTTACTAACATCTTTCCATTCACTACTTGCCTATTCTGATTCGAAGAGTACGGATACATGATGAAGATAACCGAGAAAAGTGATGTATACAGCTACGGCATAGTTGTATTAGAAGTACTAACAGGCAAACAACCGATCGATCCAACGATACCAGGCGGACTTCACATCGTAGATTGGGTTAGACAAAAAAGAGGAAGAGTTGAAGTGCTAGATGAAAGCTTAACAACAAGGCCAGAATCCGAAATAGAAGAGATGTTACAAACTTTAGGTGTTGCTTTGTTATGCGTAACTTCGAGTCCAGACGACAGACCGACGATGAAAGACGTGGTGGCGATGATGAAAGAGATTAAACAAGAGAGAGATGAATGTGTGAAAGTTTTTGATCAACATGAGAGGAATCATTATAATGAGGAGTTAGTTGAAGGGATGAAACATTCATGTCCAGCAACAAGTAGTAGCAACATGAATATGCATTTACATTATTCTCCTCATATTTCTACAACACTAGATTAAGAAACCTTGATAGGTTCAATAATAGTGATGTGACTAGGAAACTAGTTTTTTTCTTAGCAAGAGTGTGGTTGGTTTCTGTTTGATTTTAGTAACTACTTCAGCTTCATGATTATGGTTTGATTGTGTATAAGGATATTTAATCTTAATAACTGGGAGAAATGAAGTAATTTTTGTTCTTTGTTTTACTATTTTGTTTTATATTCACAACATTATCTTCTCTAAAATTATAGAAAATAATAAAACCCTTGGTCTATATTGTAGTTGATCTAAAATTCAATATGAAAATGTCATTAAACATCTATAATCCGGGTTCAATAGGGGCATGAATTAAACTGAAGAAAGGCTTTCAAAACCATAAATTCTTGCATGCATGAAAATGAAGTCCCTCTAGAGTGGTTTCCAACATAAGAAATATTGGAGATCTCCTTAAGAGTGGTTGACCTCTAAGAAGTCAACTTATTATCGAACCTCTTTTAACAACCACATCACATAAATTTCAGGTGAGCAAGATCTTCTATAGATATCAATAAAAACATCAATAAAAGTGTCAAAAGAAATGGTTGTGAAATCGATGTCACGAAAACAAAATATAACTGATTTTTTTATCAATGAGAAAATTAGGAAGTGAGAAAAAGAGAAGAGAGAAAAACAAAAACGATTTAAAGTGGTATAAAACTCTGCATTCTTAATTCAATTACACATTAGGGAATAATATTTACAATTGAATCTCAACCACACCACTTTCTCCTCTTTAATCAGAGTTATATAGAAGTGGGGACTAGGATGCTATTTATAAGAAAACTAAAACCTTAACTTTTAACTAGCATACTAAAAAAATGTGCTAGCAGATGATTAGCCATTTCGACATGCTAACAAACTAGAATATTTCGACAGGTAAACTAACTTTTCAACTTCGACAGAGTTTGATCCACTACTAGCTTATAACCCATAAGCTACAAATCTCCACCTTGGATAAAAAATTAGGACCACGAAATGAACTAGTTGTCATCCTGCAGTCTTATCAGCTGCATATAGTGGAAGAACTTGCAACTTGACAATGCTATGGTGATCATATCAAAAGCATTGTCATCGTTCAAAATCTTTAGCACTTGGACTTTGAGTTACACTCATCTTGAACAGTGTATTTGTTGGAGTCACAACAAGCTTTGAATTCGATATACTAATCTTATATAGGCATGTCTCTTGAGATAAGGATAATCTCGACTGCTTTCTATCTCTCCAGATGTCAATCCCAAGGATTCTGGTGGCAGTACCAAAATCTTTCATCTCAAACTCCTTTCTAAGTTGAGCCTTTACCCTCAATACTTCTTCGACACTGTCGCTAGCTATGAGGATATCATCCACATAAAACAACAAAATCACAAGTGAACTTCCAAGTCAGAATCTGAAGTAAAAACATGGGTTGAATTGACTCCAAGTGAAACCTATGTGTTCCATGAACTTATTAAACCTCATATTCCGTTTCCTAAGAGAATTTTTAAGGCCATATAATGATGTATTAGGCTTGCACACATAATCCTCCTTGCCCTTTTCTTCATATCCTTCAGGTTGCTTCATGAGGATTGTTTCATTTAGGTCACCATATAAGAAAGTAGTCTTCACATCCATGTGTTCTAGCTCTAGGTCAAACTTTTCCACCAAGGCTGACAAAATTCGAATGGATTTATGCTTCACAACAGAAGAGAACACATCATTAAAGTCCAGTCCTTATTTCTAAGTGAACCCCCTAGCGACCAACGTTGCCTTTTATCTCTTCGAGCTGACTAATATGGACCTTGTGGGTCTCTTAACCAGCTCCCAAGTGTTGTTATTATGAAGATGTTTCATCTCGTCATCCGGGAAATATAAGCCATTCAGTCTTGCTACGAGTCCTCATAACTTCCTTATAGTCTCTAGGCTCTTCATCTAAAACCTCACTTGCATAGATTAAGGCAAAAGTTATGATATCTACATAACCAAGTTTCTGAGGTGGTTTGATGATTCTCCTGATTCTGTCTTTGGCTAACAGATACTCATTAAGAGCCTCCTCATTCATTTTAACACCTTGTGATCCTTCTTCGACTTCATCTAGGTTTTGCATTTCAATATCAACATGCTCAACCTCAACAGGGAATCCCCCTGTTCCAACTTCTCTACAGAGATCTTCGTACTTCGACCAACATCCTCAGTTTTCTTCAACGTCATCTCAATTTCATTGAAAAGTACATCTCAATTTTTTATACACCTTTTATGACCTGGCTCTAGGTGCCACAACTTATAAGCTTTGACTCTTTTAGGGTATCCAACAAACAAACATCTCAGAGCTCTAGGTTCAACCTTGTCTTGCCTAATGTGAGCATATGCTACACAACCAAATACTCTAATTTTTTCAAGGTCTGGTGGATGACCTAACCAAAATTCTTCAGGTGTCTTCATCTCCAAGGCAATCAAGGGACACCTATTTATCAGGTAAGCTGTAGTCATGACTGTCTCATCTCAAAATTCCTTCTTTAACCCCTCACTAACCAACAAGCACCTCACTCTTTCCAAAAAGTTCGATTAAACATTTCCAAACATAACACAGTAGCTTTCGAAAGCTTCATTGAAAAATTCAAGACCATTATCAGTCTTCAACCTCTTGACTTTCCTGCTCATTTGGTTTTCAACTAAAGTATTCCAAATTTTGAAATTTTCAAAAATTTCATCATTAGATTTTTGAGCAAATACCCACAACTTTCGTGAGTAATCATCAACTATGGATAGAAAGTATTTTGCATTTGAGTTTGAAGGACTTCTTGAAGGCCTCCAAAGATCAGCATGGATATAATCAAGGGATCCATGTGTTCTTTGTTTACCTTTGCTAAACTTTACCCTACAAAATTCACCAAATACGCAAGGTTCACAAAACTCTAGTTTTCCAACTATGTCACCACCTAGCAGATTTTGCATTCCCAATTTGACCAGACCCCTTTCACTGACATGGCAAAGTCTCATGTTCCTTATCTCAGTCTTCAACATAAGTTTTGTGGATGACATGCACCATTTTTCATTCTTCATTTGCTAGACTTTCACAAATCTTTCAAAGAGCTCGCGAGGAAGAATTAACTGCACCATTTTTCAAGCTTCAGTATTACTTCTATCTCATTACAATCAATCTCAAGACATTCGATTCACTTTAATCAAGCTTTCACACAATAATTCTCAACTGGTAAGATTCTCATTTCCTTTTTATTTTTGAGTTGTGATTCATGTGCTAGGTAAAATAGGTTGTTTAAAATGCATTAGGTTATAGTTAAATTCAAAATAGGTAGGTTGTATAGATATTCATTCACATTTGTTGCTGTTTAGGGCATTCTAGGGGATTTTAGGCATTTTTGGCAATTGCACTTGTTTACACATATGCATCTCCAGATTTTTCCTTTCATGTTTTGTTGAGACGCATCTCTGGATTTTACTTGCCTTGATTTTGATTTGATTTTCTTGTTTGCATTATAGGTACAACAATTGAAAATCAAGACAAATTAAGGTTCAGTCATGTATCCTAACATGTGTTTGTAAGAATATGACACTGCGCCTGAGGCCACATAAGCGTTAACTTCATAAGATATTGTATCTTAGACTTTAGTCCCCTGAGGGCACATGTCTTTTTCTGACCCTCTAGCTTATGAAACCCATCAGGAGGAACCCCGTAAAGAGGAACGTTATTAAGAGTGTCGTACCTCGAAAAATATGTTCCTTTGCGAAGGGTATCGCACGCTCGCGGAAAATGATTCGAACAGAGTCACCACCGAAATTTATTTATTCCAATGAAGGAAAAAGAAAATATCGATAAAACCTTTAAAAAAGAAAATGGTCATCACAACCAAATTCGAGTTCGGGAGTCGATTATGCAAGGGGAAGGTATTCACACCACTCACGTCCATTGTATTCAACGGGAACCTTTTAGTTAAATTTGTGATTGAATGTTGACTTATGTCATTTGTTATCTCCAAGTGGTAAAAAGATTAAAAATAAAAAGAAAGGAAACCGCAAAAAAGTTTTTTATTAATCTGCCTGAAAAGATTGCAGGTCTTGCTCCTACTTAATTTTAGGTGCGATAGAGAACTCAAGGCTACATAGTTCTGTATAGAAAATATTTATGTGTTAGTCGATTTTAGCGAAATAATCTCAAGTTGCATTCAAATGAAAAACATTTCTCCCAAAAACATGGATAATTTGAACATTCGCATCACTTCAAGAATGGATGACTTAATTTGGATCAACACAGATTTATGCCATCATCACATTCGAGTGGAAAACATTTGATATTCTCATGAGGAAACATTATTTTCGTCATTGCGGAATGGAAGAAGCGTCTTTCGTTTCTGAAATGGTTTTGATTTGAAAGCAAAAAAGAAGAAGGTTTGAATGTGTTGAAGTATGTTTTAGAATTGGAAGACAAGTATTCGAATAGGGAGCTCTACAATAATGTTCAAATATCGGAGAATGAGGAAAGTCTAAACATAATTAGTCTTTTTCTTTTGCATTATTATTAAAATGTGTGGCGCATTTAAGTCAAGATTCATTAACAAAAGACGATTATTCGTATAGGAAGCTCAACAACAGTGTCCAAATAATCGCAGACTAAGGAAGGTCTAAACAAAATCAATCTTTTTCCTCCTATAAGAGAACCAACTCAATTCAATTAATTATTATGTTTTAGTATGGAAGACGAGCATTTAGACATAAATCTCTAAAATTGTGTCCAAATATTCGGGGAAAGAGAAAGGTCTACACCCATCTTTCCTTTTTCATCAAAGTTGTTGTGAAATGAGTTTCTCAAATTTTAATTGTGAAAGTGGTTTTGAAATGGTTTGAAGTCGATAATGAAATTGACTTGATATTTTCAAAAATGAACGTTGAAATGATATAGTGAGATAAGTCGATCAATAATTTTAATTAACAAAATTAATTGATTAAAATTTGGTTAGATTGACTAATTAAACCAATTAAGATTAATT